ATAATTTCAGTTTAACGATGTGCGATTATTTGAATTTTAAAACGAATATAAATGTAGAAACTACATTTAAAATTAATATAAATATAGTGCACCTACGAATAATTTATAAAATTGATTTAAATCATGGTTTTTATTTACAGAAATCACTGTAAATCGCGATTTAAATTGATTTAATTATGCCAACCGTATTCTAAACTCATTGCCCTTGCATCTTAGAATGCCGACATCCTAAGGGTAGGAGTACTAATTATTTGAACATTGCAAAAGCAATATTTTGGAAGCCTTCAATCTTCATCTAATTCAGGAGGGAAGAATTATAGATGATTTTATTATTTTAGCTATATAATTGTAGTCGTCTTTGAATCCGTAATATTGTTAGGGCTGGATTTTATTTAAAAATAATTATCAAAATCATTCACTTCTCAACTATCTCTCAATTCCAATAAAAATTTATATGAAGATCACACATGTCTATATATAATTTGAATAGAAACGAAATTTGAAATTGGTTAGCTAGCTAAGAATACGCAAAAATTAGCAAATTTTTTACCTCTTTGATATTAAATAATTAGTTGTTAATTTTAAAACGAAATCATTGTTGGATAAAAAATCAAATGATTAAATCAGATGGAAAAAAAATTCCAAATTTTTGTTAGAGTAGTCTGCCCTACATCCATTAAAGAATTTTAAATAAATATTTAAAAATGATTATTATTTTGAAAAGACAAGCACCTCCACAGGGTGTATCAATCTTTGATTTTTTAAAAAAAAAATAAGCCTTATACGTGAAGATTTGTGGATTAAATTTTTATACCCTCTTATTTAAGTGATATCTTTATTCATTATAATGAGGAACACCTATATAAATACAATAAAAAAATAATAAAATTTCAAATATTAAATTATAAAAAGGTTGGTCCTATTAAGAAATACAAAAAATATTATTTTATTTTTAGGTTCTTTTATTATGTGTAAAGTACACATTTCTCATGATCTAGACTCGTTTACTTTAGAAGAATGATTAATAGCGCTAATTTTTTAAAATTAGCTTTCATTTAATATTGATAACCAATATGCTAGGAGAAAGATATATCGGTAAATAAATAAACATTTGAGCTATATTCATTTCGAAAAAGATTTAAAATACCAAAAATTCCTGATGATTTTGTGTTTTTTTCTGAAAATAAAATCGAAAAAATCTCTAATGACAAATTATGGAAGACATTTAAACACACTCCGATCCAAAACAGACGAAATAAATTACTAGCATATCAGGAATTACGATCATAAGACATTAAAACACTAGGATCCAAAAGTGGCGAATTAAATTATCAGCTCATATTAGGAATTCCGATCTTAGATCGATCCATCATCCAATAATTTGGCTATATTCTTTTAACGAGAAGACATGTAGTAAATACAAGAATGCTTATTTTTTATTAAGTTTTAAATATTAATATATAAAACAATGAACAAAAAATTAATAAAATATGCTAATATAAGATTGAATCGGGATATCTTAAAGTATATTCCTATATTATTATTCGAAATTTGTCCATATTACTAGTAAAATTTGTAATGCCTTCAAAAATCGCTCCATATATTAAAAACGGCTAACTCGATATTTTAGCCAAAAAAAATATTCCCTAAGCTTCAAGATTTAGCAAATAAATGTCCAAACCTTTTAGCCATCTAGAACAACATCTTTCGGCTTGCCTATCTGTATAAAATCCTTAGCCCTTTTTATAAAATAGGCTCACATGGAGCGATTTATATCACTATATTCAATCATTTTTTAAAAATTCGAATAGAGTTCTCAATGAATTTAAATTTAAACTTAACAGTTACTGGAGAGATGTGCTTCTCGTAATAATATACAAATAAATTAATAAATTGTTTTATTACAATTTTACTCAAAAATTTTGTTCAATTTTTGATGATTTATAAAATTATTTTGTAATGTAGAACATTCAGGAAACTTTAAATGGCCTTAGAACAAAATCTAATAATTGTCCCAAACCATTGAATATAACTACTATTTCGGTTCTATTCCTGTTATTTTATGAAATAATTTATATCGGATCATTGTAATTCTCAAAATTGCTAAATCATTTAAGTTTCCAGGCACTACACTCGGAAAGTTTTTCAGGGACCTAACATCTGATATTTTATTATATAACTATTTTTTTTTAAAGTTTATTAATTTTTTTTACATAAAATAGTATATACCTTCTTTTTTTTTTATTAATGTCATCCAAATTTGCATAAATTTTTCTAAAAATAAAATTTATCATCCCCCCTAACTAAACTCAACTTCCCTTTTTGGCCTAAAGAATTTATTTTTTAACAATTTTACATATAAAACTTTGGCAAAGGTATAATGAAGATTTGAGGATGGGGGTGGGTGGGTGATTAAATTGACGGTGGAAATTTTTTTTCATTTTTTAAATCTAAGAATAAGAAGACCCCCTTAAAGTAAGGTAAATTACTTGCGAAATTCTTGAATTAATTACGTGTCAATTTTTCAAATATAATTCATCAATTTTTTAAAAAAAAATATAATATTTTATTTTTAAGCTTATTCAATTTGATTAATCGAATAATAGTAAGGAGTACAAATAATTCTTTTAATTTAAATTATAATCATTTTGTCATTTCCCTATTGATAATCTATCGATCTGACATGTGATGTGATTGACATGATATGCATCAACTGCTCGTGAAATGCTTTTCACAGCTAGAACTAATTTGCTGTCAAAAAAATCGAATGTTTTATAAAACAATAAGAAAAACGCTTTGCATTAAAAATTGGCTTGGCATTAGAAATTAAATGAATATGCCTTTTAACCGCGTATCAGGTCAATTCAGCCAAACTTTTATCGCAAAACCAATTCCGCGAAACATTTATAGCGAAGACAATATCGCCAATTTATTTACGCGAAACATTACCGAGAATAATTTAGAGTGAATACATTTTAGCGTAACTTTTATTGCGAACTTTTTAAAGCGAATTTTCAACCGCGAATGTATTTGCGCGAAGTCATTATCACGAAACAAGCATTTATTTAAAGCAAAACAACATATTCAATATTAATTTACCCCAAAAGTTTCGTAAATCATAAACGCGTTTCTTAACACCCCCCCCCCTCCTACTTCCATGCTATGATATATTTTTTAAATAATTTATCATTCTCACGATTTGTAGTGATGGAGATGGTTAACATAACAAATTTTAAAAAATCACCTTATTTCATTTATATGTAATTTATTTTCGTATCGCCATTCAAAATTCGATAAAGACTAATGAGCAATGAGCTCATCTGAATATTGGCACATCCCAGATATCAATTTCGCCAGTAAGCATCTAGGTTTAACTAATCAACTCAATATGATTAATATATTACTAAAGCCTGAATTCCTTGTCGCGCTTCTTCTGATTGAGTAAAATTTATGCCCGGCATTTCTAAATAAACTGAGATTAGGATCGGGAGACGCTATATTTTTAAATCCCCCACCACCACCCCTCTTCCATTTATGCTCACCAAAATCCTAACCGATTTATTTACCATTGACTTGATTTATCTTATCACATATGGGGAGGGTAAAACTGGGTATTTTTATATTTATGCTGTATCTATTTTTTAACAAATTGTTCAGATTTTAAAAAAATATATATTTCTTGTCATTAAATAGAAGATCACAATGTTATAAATGAAGATAAAGGACGGTTCTTAATTATATTTTTTAACATTTTTATTGTGATTATATAAGAATATAGGACTGAAAGATTCATTTATAAAATAAAATGTTGATATAGAACTCTATAATACTCAGCCGACTTTGAGTAGATTTTTAAATTTCCTTAAAATTTTTTTATTCAAATCTCGATTTTTTTAAAGTAATCTAAAACAGCAATGTGAAACGAGTATTATGCATTATTTTGAACCTCGCAATTGTATTCCTTCCATTCCATAAACCTTGCCTTGTTCTCTTTCAAACTCGTCATTGCCAATATTTGCAAAATAACATTCGAAGACGTTTAAATTTTCGCATGGGTTTCTTGACCATCTTATTTTAAAGGAAAGGGAATATTATTTTAATTCCAAATTGTTGGCGTATATTATTTTAGAATCGCCTGCTCGAAATTTGATAAATTATCGAGCAGATGTTTTATTTAATCTAGTATTTTTGTTAAACCAAAAAAGTTTGAATTATCGGGGAAATTTCATCATTTCTGCCATTATTATAATTTAACCATTAATTTTTATAACAGCTTTCGAATCCATAAATATTTTTGAGCTTTGAATTTTGTTCAATATGAACTATTATGTGTTAGCAGTGGCGCATGCTTGGCTACGTATAATTTTTTTTCCTATATTGTGCAATTATATTCATTGTCATAAATTTTTCAGACACCTTTCATTTTCAAAAAAAAACTGGGGGTTGAAAGGACCTCACTTCAATTTCTCGTAATTGTTCTTTGCCTTCACCTCTCTTTTTAATGAATAGAATTCAGTCAGCATTATTTCTCACTTGATTTTGTAATCTATAAATTATTAATCCCCATCACCTAACCCTAAAAATATGTCGGTAAATAGCATTTATTAAAAAAAAATTATTCTTAGCATATATTAGAGATCTATAAAGAACGGGTTTTTAACCCGAACGCTTGCCCGCCCGCCCATTATGTAAATAAATTTTAAGCGCACGCGCACCCATGATTTGTTTTTTAATTTTAGCGGTTATTCACTTAGTCGAAAAAAAGGAAACATACCAATTAGTGCGTTGCATTTTTATTTTTGACGTTTTGGTAATGTGAAAAACAAGAACCGCCATTTCCTCCTATAATAAAAATGTTAAAATAATAAAATTCGGGCTATGAGGTAAAGGGTTTCAAGTTACAATATTTTATAATATTAATTTTTTTTTGCGTATTATTTTGTTGTAAATATCAATTTTCTATACTACTATTATTTAAAAAAAAATAATATAAAATGTAGATTACTTGAAAGTGGAACCACTTTGAGAACATGGATTTCGAGGGAACAAAAGAAGGGAAGCCCATGAGACTTGAAAAAGAAGTTGGTATTCTGGGCGGGACTGCAATTATCGTCGGAACTATGATAGGTAATATTTTTATAATTAAAAACCGTGTGAAGGTTTATCGTTTGCCTGACCCCGGTTTGTAAACCCTGTCCGGCTTTCAATAAATGGATTTTAAAGTCGGAGATTGCCATCGGGGCTGGCCCGCTGTAAAATTATATTATAAAAATTAATAAATTACACTTTTTAAAACGTTTTTTTTCTCTTCAATATCCTTGCCACTATTTACTTTAAAAATATAACTTTAATTTTATTTTTTGAGTTTAAATAACTTGACCTTGGCCAAGCATTTTTTTTAAGTATTAGCTTTTTTTAAAAAATAAATATATTTATAAATTTAAATTTCTTCTTTAATTTTCAAATTTATGTAAAATTTAATATATTAATTAATGTGCATTAGTGTTAGTAATATGTCAGCACTTGATTTGAGTAGTTAAAGGATGATTGATTATTGCCCTAGGGCTTGGTCGAATAAGTTTAAGACCTAAAATTTTTAACTAAATTTTTCATGCTATGCCTTATTATTTATTTATTTTTAAACTTATTTAAATTTCTTAATATAAAAAAATTAATCACGAACTCCAAAATTTTTTATTTCAAAACCTTTATCATTTATAATAGAGCAAAATATGAATGAGCAATTCAAAATATCGCCTTACTAATGCGAAAAGATCATTATTTTCACTCCAGCTATTTTAAAATGATGTTATCACCCTTAGCCTTCGTAAAGAATATTATTTGTGGCCGTTGAATTGATAAGGGGGCGCACATTTTAGTATTTCAAATCGATTCCTTATTAACTAATTTATTTTTATGGTACCAAGGATTGCTACTTTCAAATTCTTGTTTGAGTGAGCTCCCCAAATGTTTTTATGAGATTGTTATCTGGTAAGGTTTTTATAGATTTGGTGGTATGACAAGGACAGTCATCGTGCTGGAAGGTGTATATTCTTCGTGACCTAATAAATAAAATGTGGAATGCAGTAACTCTTCGTTGATGTTTTCTTGATATTTAGTAACATTTATTATATTCTTTGTAAATAGAATATTTCCTAGGGCTTTTTGGCACTCATGCAACCCCATACTATTTCACTATAACTTAACTGTTCTTTGCATGTATACCTCAATACGAATCAGATCGAATATTGTATTTATAGATTCGAAAATATGAATCGAATAATTCCTTATTCGTTGCGAATAATAAAAGTTTGCGATTTGATTCCATTCGAAAATTAATTTCTTAAAAAAGTATAATGTATCAATAAAACTTTTAAAAAGTGATTTATCGATGTGGAAATATAGCAAAAAAATAGATATTATTATAAGTAGAAGGGATAGAAATTCCTTGGGTTGTAATATCCCTATTTCGTATAAGCCCCATTTTATGTCTAAGAAATATTGTGTTGTCCCATACACTTTTGTCCTTACGTGTTTTAAATCCCAATTTGAATCTTTTCTTTTGTAATAGTGTTTTAATAGTTTCTTCTTACCCCTCATTCACATTTAGCGCGAACATGAATACGTGGCGAAAAATTCAAAATATTTTAAATATATCGCACTAATATTTAAAGTTCTGCATCGATATTATGTCATTGCATCATAATCTGATTGCAGCGAATTGACATTTTGGAGATATTTACTTAAAAACCAGGTTAAATGAAATATTAAATTGTACTCTTTTTTTTAGAAAATAAAATTACCATTTATTAATTCTGCGGGGACATATATGTGTATATTATAACCCTGATTTCACAGTTAATGTTAACGCGAAACGAAATCACTGCTAAATATCAGCTGATTTATCGCAAGCGAGATTCATTCATAGTAAAAATTTAACATCTGGCAATTTGTACGCGAATTAAATCATTTTTCGATAATATGGTTTCCATTACCACTTTAAATTATTTTTTTACGAAATGGTCAAGAAGAGAAGACGAGATAATCTAAATATTAAAAGGAAAGAGAGATCATTTCTAAAACTCTTAAAAACCATGTGAGTGCAAAATTTAGGCGGAAGTTGTTTTCATGCAGCAGCTAATTATCTTTGGTTCGATGCGAGTGCAGAATTTGGCAGGGTTACTTCCAACCATCTTGCACTAAGCTAGTTTTTCCCTATCCTCCACCATGTAGCGTTTGGGAATCAGAAGTAGCGCTATTTAATGGATGGATTGTATATTTATTTTGACAAAGATCAATACTTGGCACGCAAGGGTTCAGATAAGAAATATTATTGATAAAAGTCTTTCTTATTAAATGTAGATCGTGCCCTAATTCGGATATTTTTCAACCTCGATGTCTAGCTGCCCAAATCTTATAATAAACATGAAGCTAAAAATACGAATTAAGATTAAATTCTGATAAAGATAATAATAAAACTTTAATGAGGATCTGAAAATGAAGATTTTTGTGAATATGTTCTAATAAGTTTTTTTGAAACTAAATAATTCTTTAAATACTTTTAATAAATTTCCCCCAAATCCTCTGCTCCAGTGAGCCCTACGCGCTCGTGTTTATCTGATCAAAAAGAAAATTTATATATAATATTTAGTATTTTTTAACTTACGCGTTACCTTTTTTTTGAATAGCGAGTAGCCTGTTTTTTTATTAAATAACGTTTACAGTACGCGGATATTCTTATATTTCTGTAGTATATCTTTAATGGTAAAAAAATTTAGGTTAGGACTAATTGATTTGCTATCTTTTTCCAAAATTCCCTCCTTTCATTTATCACGAATGTGGATATTTGTTAATTTACGTCTATCTATTCGAAGTTAAACTTTAAGGTTATAAATTGATTAAAATATAATGTAATTGTTTGTTAAAATAAGCAGACGATAGTTAATTTTTGAAATACTTATATCATCCTTATAATTTAAATAAATTAAATTTTAAATAAATTTTTTGCACTTAATTAACATGCTATATATTTACATTAATTAAGATTTTAATTATTTTAAAGGGATTAATAAATATTTTTGAAAATAAAAAATCAAGGGTACTCGCATATCAACAAGATGGGGTAGTATATATGTATATATTTTCAATTATAATTGCATTATATAACATACTATTTAATTATTACGTAAAATATATATGTAGGCTCCGGTATATTTATCACGCCGATTGGAGTTATCAAAGCTGCAGATTCGGTCGGCCTTTCACTATTAGTATGGTTACTCGGCGGAGTTATATCTATGTTAGGTTGTTTTTAAAAAAATCTTCTTATAAACTCTTATCATATCTACAATAATTTTCTCACCTTATAATATTATTTGCATAAATAAGTTTATAACTAATAAATTCTTTTTAATTTTCTTAGTTATAGATATTATTGTTGTAAGGGTTGGTATAGTCAACTTATCATCTTTCCAATTTCAAGCCTAGACAATTCTTAATTATCTATTATAAATTAAGGAAAATTATTTTTTCTATAATCTTCCTGTTATATTTTTTTTAAATATTATAATCGCATATTTAAGGTGCTTTGTCTTATGCCGAATTGGGCACGATGATTCCCAAATCGGGAGGAGAACACGCATACCTTATGGAGGCCTTCGCTTCTCCCGCACGAGGTAAATCTCAAACCGCGTGCAAACGGTTTTGGGGACAAGTACCGGCCTACCTGTTTGCCTGGACTTTGCTCATGGTGCTCAAAACATCTGCCATGGCTGTGATCGCCATGACCTTCAGCAAGTATATAGTGGCCGCCATGCTTCCAAACTCGGAGTTTCCCGATTACGGCAGGAAGATCGTAGCTTACATCATTATGTGTAAGTCTGGGGATTTTTTTTTCTAATGAAAAAAAAGATAACTTGGGCGATGGGACGGGTGTCAGACTGTTTTATTATTGCTTGTATTTCTTCAAATTCGTAACTTTGTAGTCCGCCATATTTTATGAGTAATATCTGCCTGCCCATCTTATTTCGCAGGGTTGGGCACAATTTTCAAAAAATGTATTCGAATATAAATACTTGACGAAATTTTTTTGCACAAATAAATCCTTTGAAGAATACTTTTTGCATGTCTATTTTTTTTAGTAGTGCCACACTATGAATTTTTTTTTAACGTAAATATTTTTATTATTAACCATTTTCTAAACATCAACGATTATCTTCAGTAATACGTAAACATAAATAATACATTTATTATTGCATTAGTAGCATATCACACAGAGCATATAATAAATTGCAGGATGTTGAAATCTTTCTATATATCATTTTGGTATACTTTTTTAGAAGATATTTACATTTAGCTTTCCTTTTTTTTGATGATATTGTGAAAACAATTTCGTTTATAATTGTCAAATTGCTTTTAGAAGATGTTGACTCACAAAATCCCTGCTAAAAATATCTTGTTAACACATGAGCTTAATACAGAAATTCCTTTTCTTCAATTAGTATATTCCTCTTCCAAAAAACTTTTTTTTTCGCTTTCAGTAATGCTCATTTTAGAAATAAAATAGGATTTAAAATGGAAGATGTTAAATTTTTGCTCTAATTCCGATAACAAATTTAATATTATAATTAAATGTGGATTTATATTTTATAATTCGATTTATTATTATAAATAAAAAATAAAATATATTTGTAACCGTCTGAAAATTGTGAAATAGTAATAAGTACATAATACTAGACTAAATACTTTTCTAAAATAATCAAATAAAACAATTATTTTAATATTCGCTTTACTGCCTTACCACACTATTTTGTTCATTCATTTTGTGTTGAAACAAATTTAAATCGATTACTTTAACAAACATTTATTTATATTCCAAAAGTTTTGATCGGCTACATAAACTGTTACAGTGTCAAATTAGCCACTAAACTTCAAACATTTTTGACGGCAAGCAAAATTCTAGCTCTTTTGATCATTATAACTGGAGGAGTCTACAAAGCTGCTGTGGGTAAAAAAAAATATAACTATCACCTTGTAATATTTATTGGTATTATTTTTAAACAATTCCCTATCGATTTTTACTTAATTATGCGGCAAAATTTCAACTTCCTAGATGTTATATTTTTTGGAGATATCAGTATTTATAACAAAACATCATTGCTCATTTCTTTAATCTTATTTTTATCCATACCTATGATGTCGTGAAGGCTCTTTTTGTTTTTTTATGGAATGGTAATCATAATGTCTGTTTTAAAATATAATTAAAATTGGAATGATTAATTTTTATTGTAAGAAGTTTTTTTAATTTATTCACTAAAAATATTAAGTATACGTTTTATTTTAATACTAAATATATTATTATATATAAGCGTGTTTTATAATTAATTGACTAGGCCTAAAACGAATTATTTGTTATTCGAAATTCGATTTGATTCGTAAACATTTTATTTTTGCGTTATCATTATAAATCGTAATTAAATAATAAAAAATGAAGTAATTAAATTTTCCTAGTGGATATCATCGTTTTATTTTATTTCCTATTTTTTTATATATTCATAAATCAAATAGTTAGGGAAACACCCTAACAAAGTAAAAAATATAATCATTTTATTTTGATGGTTAGATTTAAAAATTCCAACTAAATAAGGAATTCCCAATAATGCCTTGAATTCTATTACACCAACTTTAGTAGAACTTTCATATTGGTCAGTATAGTTTTTATTTATAATTTTAATTTTTTCATTGGTATGATAAATACTCTCTTCCATTATTTTTGGTGTTATGAACAAGGCAAAACATTTTTCTAGAGTGACTGCTTCTTTCTCATTCTTTTACTCCTGGAAGATGAGTAACTAAATTTTGTTGACGAGTTCTTATTCTTTGATTAGGAAAATCCTTTTTCCTTTTAGTAACCCTTATTTTTGACTAATTTTAAAGAGAAATATTATATGATAAACGATCACATATTTACCGAAATAATATTTAAGTCTATTGTCTGTTTCAAATGACATATCTTCTTCTAATTCAGATTGTGTATCATGATCACTATCATGCATAAAACTTCATCCTCGTTATTAATTACATTGTCATAATCGCCTCTAATAGAATGATATTACATCTTAAATAATTTTATATTCAATTTTAAATCATATGGGCTATAATTTATGTACTACTAAGATAATATAAAATTGTCAAAATAAGAATTATTAATTTTCTGACGGTTTAGTTGATTTATTATTTCTTAAATTGTTTTGAATTTTAAATATTTTTTCTTTCAGCTGCTAATGTATAATTAATTTGAAATTTCAGGAAGGATGATAAACTTAGATTTTATAAAATTTTAAATATATTCAAATAAAATTTTGATGGAGGAAGAGATGGATGGACAAAGTCAATTTTAAATGAAAGGCGAAAAAATTCTTTAACATTGAATCATTATCTTCATGATTCTAAAACAGAAACTGCCAATTGTAAAATATGTATGGTAGAAATGATGTATAAGAAAAATACCACCTCTGCACTAATTAATCACAATAAAAGATTTAAAATAATAATACAATAGAAAACTATTTAAATGTTAACCAAAAACAAATGTTATTAAAATTCTTGCCACAAATGAATTTAAATAATTTGTTAAAGCTTTAAATCATAACGTCAATACCCTCAATTTATATGAATGAAATTTATAATAAAGAATTCAATAAAGTTAAAAATATTTATAAATAATTTAAAGTGCTAAATCAACTGTACCACCGACATATGGTCAAGCCCTATTATTGTACGATTTTTAGGGTTGACCTGCCACTTTATATATGAAAAATGTGAGATGAAGTCATTGTTATTAGATATGGTACCATTTACTGATTCACATTCTGGTGAATATATATAGAGTTTTATCACATTATTAAAAATTATGATTATAGGTAACCTAGCAATTATTGATAATGCAAACTCGAATTCAACTTTCATTAAAATTCTTCCAACTTGTAAAATTTTATTTACATGTACGATGTTTTGCATACTCAATTTTGTAATAATACTCAAGAAAGTAGACAGTCAATTATCAAAATTAAGAACAATCATAATAGTGCGCACAAATTGAACGTTGCAACGCAATGTTTCAAAACGCATATAAAAAAACGTAAAAGCAGCCTTGTTTAAATTGATGCGTTAAGTTTAATTTTAGAAACCTTTAAATTTAAAATAAAAAAAATAAAGGAAGGAAGAGGAGCAAGACATCTCAAAAATATGTTAAAAGAAATTTTTTTTTCTGAATATATTAATATTAAAGGCGATTTAACACATTCTCAATTTTATAATTATACAAGAATGAAAAGATCGACATTTTCTTATATTCTGGAGCTAATATATGATGACATTAATCCGAAAGTTACCAATTGTAACAAACAAATCGATGCTGAGGATTGATTGTTTGTTACCTTGAGATAAAATAAATTTAATTCATATTATTTATATATTAGGTATTAAATTACTGGTGTTTCATTTGAACAACTTGATTATAGCTCAAAGATTTCAAAATCTTGTATAGCTTATATTGTGAAAGTGTGCACAGCAATTTGGAATGCTGCTGTACATATTCACATTCCTAGGCCTAATAAAAATGATTGTGAAAGAGTAAATTTATTATAATAAATCAAGATTAATATTTACTTATCTTTATATTTCCCAGGAATTCCTGCTTCAATCAGGATTCCCAAATTGTTTTGGGACTATAGATGGAAAACATATCTATATCAAGAGCCCTCCCAATAGTGGCTCACAATTTTTTAACTACAAGCATAGATTTTCAATTAACCTGTTAGTCCTAACAGACATTAACAGGAAATTTATTTATATAGATGTGGGAGCATGAGGAAAGCAGAGTGATGGTGGAGTATTTAGAAATAGCTCTTTATACAGAGGTTACATTATATTAATTTTATTATATTGGTGAACCATACCCTTGATCTGCCTGCTCCCAAGCCATTTCCAGGTTGTAATGAGGCTATGCCATTTGTAATGGTTGGGGATGATGCATTCCCTTTATCAAATTATTTGATGAAGCCCAACCCCAAAAGAAATCTCACAACAGAAGAAAAGGAATTTAACATGAGGTTATCTCAAGCCCGTGTTAATGTAGAAAGAAGTTTTGGTGAATTGTGAAAAAATTTGAGCCTCTAGCTAGGCCAATAAAAACAATATGTATCTTAAATAACATCATCATCAACAAAGAAGGCTCAGCATCCATTTATGATATAGGTACTACTTATATTTAAATTTATGTAAAATTATTAAACACCATATATCTTTATATTTTTAAAATTAGGTAATCATCCAAATTAGATCAACAATGATGAACCTCACTACACGACCTTTCTTACCTAGCAGAAAAAATAATTCTACTTCAATGGAATCAAAGATTCTTAGAAAAAATTTTATAAATTATTATATTTATATTGTATTAAATTTATTTAAAATATTTTATATCAAATTGTGTTACATATTTAATTTTTATAGACAATTATGTTATTAAATGATATAAATAAATAGATTGAATATTAAGAAAATATTATTTAATATATTAAATCTTGTGTAGCCCATTGAGCTATTTAAAATCTTAAGGAATGTACCTCAAACTTAAAATAATATAAATTCTAATATCTTACAACATGATACAAACATATAAAACTTTTATTAAAAATTAATAAAATTATATAAAATACATACAAAAAATTAATAATTTATATAATGCTATTAAATATGTCTAATGTAGATTCATTTCAGGTTGTAATGATATATCATTTGATAGATATTTTATAACCTCTGTTTTAAACAGGAATTGCTTCTCATAATTGAAGGATTCAGCCTCCTCTAGAAGGCTATTCAAAAAATGCCTAAATAAAATATAAATTAGCTTTACTGCATCCAGATGTGTTTTCTTGCAAAACATTTATTAACCTATTAAAATCATTTAGTTTATTTGGTTTCTCTTTTTGAAGGAGATATATTAAAGTTGTTAGAAGTAGGGCGATCTTCCATGGTTTTTTACATGAAGTTACTTGTATTCTTGAGTTCCTCCTGATGAGCCTGATGGTTTACCTATTTTCTCATTATTCAATTGTTAAAATTCCTCAAACTCTTCTTGAGATATAGAGGGCTGGTATCAAAACCAGGAAATTCCAAGGGTAAGCTAATTAAATGATTGAAAACCCATCTGGGATGCAGTAAAGCTAATTTATATTTTAAATTTATTTATATCTTATTTAGGCATTGAATAGCCTTCTAGAGGAGGCTGAATCCTTAAGTTATTAGAAGCAATTCTTGCTTAAAACAGAGGTGATAAAATATCTACACTATCTCAAGACAAATGATATATCACCACAACCTGCCAATAAATCCATTAGACTTATTTAATATCATTATATAAATTATTTATTTTTTATAAAAATTGTATGTATTTTTATTTAATTTCTAATAAAAGTTTTATAATATGATTGTATCATGTAAGATATTAGAATTAATATTATTTTAAGTTTGAGGTTCATTCCTCAAGATTATAGCTCAATGGGCTACACCTAGAATAAAGTCCAAATTAAGATTTAATATATTAAATAAATTTTTATTAATATTCAATCTATTTATTTATATCATTTAATAAAATTATCTATAAAAATTAAATATGTAACACAATTTAATATAAAATATTTTCATAAATAAATTTAATATAATATAAATATAATAATTTATAAAATTTTAAATTTGTCTCTAAGAATCTTTGATCCCATTGAAGTAGAAATATTTTTTCTGCTAGGTAAGAAAGGTCTTGTAGTGAGGTTTATCATTGTATCTAATTTGGATGATTACATAATTTAAAAATATTAAGATATATTGTATTTAATAATTTTATGTAGTACCTATATCATCAATTGAAGCTGATCCTTCTTTGTTGATGATGATGTTATGTAAGATAATATTGTTTTTATCACTATTTCTATGCAAGCTAGGCCAATTTCTATTGGTCTAGCTAGAAGCAATTTTTTCACAATTCCACCAGAACTTCTTTCTACACTAACACGGGCATGAGATTACCTCATGTTAAATTCCATTTCTTCTGTTGTGAGATTTCTTTTGGGGTAGGGCTTCATCAAATAATTTGATAAAGGGAATGCATCATCCCCAACCATTACAAATGGCATAGCCTCATTACAACCTGGAAATGGCTTGGGAGCAGGCAGATCAAGGGTGTGGTTCACCAATATAATAAAATTAATATAATGTAACCTCTATATAAAGAGCTATTTCTAAATACTCCACCATCACTCTGCTTTCCATATGCTCCCACATCTATATAAATAAATTTCCTGTTAATATCTGTTAGGGCTAACAGGTTAATTGAAAATCTATGCTTGTAGTTAAAAAATTGTGAGCCACTATTGGGAGGGCTCCAGATATAGATATGTTTTCCATCTATAGCCCCAAAACAATTTGGGAATCCTGATTGAAGCAGGAATTCCTGGGAAATCTGAAAATAAGTAAAATTTACTCATTCACAATCATTTTTATTAGGTCTAGGGATGTGAATATGTACAGCAGCATTCCACACATTGATTTCACAGTGTTAACTATGCAGGATTTTGAAATCCTTGAGCTTTAAGCAAGTTGTGCAAATGATACACCAGTAATTAAATACCTATTATATAAATAATTAATAATGAATTAAATTTATTTTACCTCCAGGTAACAAACAATCGATCCTCAGGCATCTATTTGTTTGTTAAAATTGGTAACTTTCGGATTAATGTCATCATATATTTAGCTCAAGAATATAAGAAAATGTCGATCTTTTCATTCTTGTATAATTATAAAATTGAGAATGTGTTAAATCGCCTTTAATATTAATATATTCAGAAAAAAAGATTTCTTTTAACATATATGATGTCTTGCTCCTCTTCCTTCCTTTATTTTTTTTAAGTAAATATAAGGCAAGTAATTTTTTTTTGTTTTAAATTTAAAGGTTTTATATTAAATTTAAACTTAACGCATCAATTTAAACAAGGCTGCGTTTACGTTTTTTTATATGCGTTTGGAAACGCTGCGTTGCAACGTAATTCTTTTATAAAGACAAATATTATGAAAAATGTATGCTCTTCTTTACTTCCCCCGATGAAATATCGAAAATTAATCCATAAGGTGGAATAGCTCTTATATAATGGTCGAAAGAGCTAAGAAGCAGACACTCCAGAAAAATGTTTTGACTTCTTCATTACACCAAAAATGATTGAAGAAATTATTTATAATACCAACGAAAAAAAATAAAATTATAAATAAAAACTATACTGACCAATATGAAAGTTCTACTAAAGAAATTGATGTAACAGAATTCAAGGCATTGTTGGGAATTTCTTATTTAGCTGGAATTTTTAAATCTAATCATCAAAATAAAATAATTATATTTATTACTTTGTTGGGACGTTTTCCTTTCCATTAAACTTCTTATCAGAAAATATATCTTATTATTTGATTTATGAATATATAATGATATTCACTAGGAGAATTTAATTACTTCTTATTATTATTTACTTACGATTTACGAAATATACAAATAATTCTTTTTTAGGTCTAGAAATTACCTATATTGGTTTGTGTTGGTAATGTTTTAATTATTTTTTGTTATTAAAACTCTTGATTATGTTTAACATAAACATCATCATTATCAAAAGGTTGTAAGTTATATGATTTTCCTAGTTAAAATTCTCCTATATCTTTGACATTTACAAGGATATTCTATACGAAAATATTGTTATCATAAGATGTTAAACTTATATAATAAATGTAGATCAAAGATCGTATTATTTAATCATTTCTAAAATAATAATTATATATAGTTTGGCGTAAGAAACAAAAATATATCATTTTATAAATTAGACATATAAAGGAAATATTTTTAGCGTTATCCACCACGATACTGAAAATACAAGATATTTATATTAATTATTTTTTGAATACTATTGGATAGATTTATCAGCCCTTGGTATTTGTTTTTAAAGCCAATTACATATCCGTCTCATATTTTATATTGTATTGTTAGAAACCTAAGATATTTATATTGTTTTTTTTAATAAAAGATAATATATATTTTTTCGATATCAATACGAAAATTCTTAATTAATGGGACATTAAGAAAATGAATGTTTCAAATTTTTACGATAATTATCTATCAAAATGGTAGGCGGAAAAAACCTCGGATAAAAATACCCGATAATAATTCTTCGAAAATAATTCTCCAGTATTGATTTTCTCAAAATTTTTTGAATACATTATTTGAGTATTTTTTATTTCGTGGATATATTTATATTTTTTTTCCTCCTATTTAATTTAGTTTGTAGGGGATTATTTTCCTAGATTCTATCAAAATATGTTTAAAAAAAAAATTAAAATTATTCAATTTTATTTGCATTATATTTTTTTTTCGAGCGCAAATGGGCTTGTTGGTAATTATTTTTCTATGCCACTTGCTATACTTTACATAATTCTAATTGTAAGTTAAGACAGAGGCTAAAGGCCAAAATTGTTGCTAAAGTACAAAGCAGGCTTACATTAAATTTACAAACAATTATTTATTTTTTTTAAAAAAAATCATATCTTTGAGAAATAATCTTCTGTTTTTTTAGGAAACACCCAGTATTTGCAAACCGGATTTCAAAATTCTGACTGGAATCCAACCTCTATTGCTTTGGCTTTTTATAGCAGCCTTTGGGCTTATGATGGATGGTAATTTTATATATATATAAAATGTGTATATTTATTACAACAATTGTAATGGACTAAACCTATTTTATATGATCATATCTACTTCTAAAGTAAATGGGGAGGGAAAGTTAAATTAAACAGTTCTTAGAAATTTTTTTATCTTATAAAATAAAAGTTTTTTGTTGTTGTTGACAGTCTTCATAAATCAGAATTAAAACATGGCCATTGTATTATTATATTAACCGCTTAAACTACATCGCATTTTTCATTCAATATTTATTTTATATTTTTTTACTTTTATATATATAATTTCACAGGAATAATTTAAATTATTTGACCGAGGAAGTCAAAAACCCTAGCAAGTAAAATATAAAGAATTAAATGATATATTTTTTTCTTGTTATTCTCGATATATTATCTAAGAAAAGGAATATTAATTTTATTTTCTTTGTTAAAACTAAATCTTAGAAATATCCCCCTAGCAATCATGATAGGGATGCCTTTAGTAACCTTTCTTTACGTGGTAACCAATGCCGCATATTTTACTGTCATGTCTCCTGCCCAAATCATTAACTCTCCAGCCGTCGCTTTGGTAATGACTAAAAAATTATTTGTTTTTATGCCTAATGCTTTAAGATAAGGCTATCCTAACCTGTTTACCGGTTTTCGAAATTCTTTTCCAGTAGTATTTTTAGATGTAAAAATAGCGAAAACCAAATAAAATTACGTACCTCATTTTACATCTATATAGTTTTGGTAATTTTTTTTTGCAAGTAATCAAATTAACGACTTAATATGAACCAATTTTTAAAAATGGCTAGTTCAATATTTTAGCCAGTAAAATATTAACTAGGCCTCTAGATTTCCCTAATAAATTGTCCAAACCTTTGTGTCATTTATGAGCAAAATCGGGCTCGCGTAATGTTTTTCTCGGCAAAATATTGAGTTAACCGTTTAACCACACCAGACGGAGCCTTATATAGGAATAATGATTTGCGATTGGGATTTGGAAGTTCAAACAAATTTGGAGTTTTAGAAACTTTCTACCTATTGAATGAAAAAAATCTGTTCAATAATAAATATATCATGTTCATTATATTATTTTTTTAAAAAAAACATATATTACGAACAGGAATGGGCCAACATAGTTCTAGGCAGATATTTTTCTTGGGTTATTCCACTTTTTGTAGCTTTATCCTGTGCCGGAGCTTTGAACGGATATTTCATAGGAATCAGTAGGTTTATTGACAGAATTATTTATTTATTCGATTCCTGTTATCGGCAATTTATCAACATTAAGATCCCTTATTTTATTTTTTAAATTAAGGATTCTAAGAATATTAAAGCACGACTTTCATTAAAACGAGTAATGATGTTATTTTCCAGCCCCAATATTTTTAACTCCTCAAAAAATGATGGATCAAATTTTGTCCCCCAAGATTATTTTTTTCAAACAGAAATATTCTTTTGTAATTTTTATGTGAAAGAAATTCATCTGTAAGACTTTTACTTTAAATTTTGGGTGAGAAAAAAATCCTTAAGGCTGTGTCCTATTAATACTTAATAGCCGGCTTTTAAGTATCGGCTTAATACCCAAAAAAGTAAGAAGAAATTGGGATTAATCATGCCACTCATATAATTTTCTAAATAACGATTGTACATGTAAGTTTAAATTGTATTTATATGAGAAAACATGCAAATATGCCGTTCAAAATAAAATGGATACATTATTTTAAAAAAAATAAATTTATAGTCTTAATTGTAGAAAATTATTAAAATAAGATAATGCATAATTCGATTTTTTGCATAGAAAATATGGATTTTTTATTGGATCGTTGAAAGTATGTGGTTCGGGGAAGCCTTATCTAATATATTTAATTTATTTATTCGAGATCTTTCTTATGAAAGGCTACTAGAGCATAGATTAGCGGTAATATTTCGGCGAAAATTATTTTCTCTACTTTAAGTTGTAAAAAAAATTTGTCTCCAAGATAGAAATTAAGGGTAGTCGTTATTATATACAAAAATAAAATAATTTACATATAAAGCAAAGATAAAATTATCAATGAAATTTTAATTTGGGATATCTTATAAATATAATGAATGAAATGTATTTAAAAGTAACTAATAATAGTGATTTTTTTACAAAATTATATTTCCAATAAATCTAACTAGTATTAACAACACGAATTAAACTTTAAAAAATGATTCCGTATTGTTATAAAATTTTGTATTCAAATTTTTTTTTTTTTAAAACGTAAAAATATTTCAACTGATATGAATTCTAAGATTGTTAGACAGACATTAACACTCGAGACTAGATAAGCTATTAGAGTAAAATGTTTTTAATTTGTGTATATTATAACTTAATCAAATGAGATTGGTTAACCGATCTACTTATTATTATCAGAATGTGGGATACATTTTTATATTAAAATAAACAAAATTAGGTATATTTGTGCATAGAAAATTAAATTTATTACAAATTATATGCTGTAATATATTTCTTAATTACCTAATCAGAATAACATCTTTATTCTATAATTATGTCATTAACTATTCCATTTTCTTCCTATTTATATCTAAAACAAAAATTTTGAACAATTAAGACACCTATATAAAAAAAGACTAACTCGTTCATACTTAAAACAAGCCAACTTAAGGCTTACTCGTTCAAATACTTTTTTTAGCCTGTATTAAAAAGCAATTAAGTATCCAAATTAAGCCGACCTATGACACGGCCTAACATATTTTTTTTTGTTAAACTAGTTTTCAATAAAAATATTTGATCCATGCCTATCACATTACTTATACCTTGTATTTTTTTACACGAATATTTAGAGTATGCTACGTTGCCGCTAGAGATCATCATTTAATCCGACTTTTGTCCTTCGTGAACATTAAAAAACTTACTCCCATCCCATCTGTCATTTTTATCGTGAGTAGAAAAAATTTTTATTTTCACAAATATTTTATGTCAACGATATATTTTTTTTATAAACATATATATTTCTATTCAAAGATGATAAATAATTTTATTATTTCTTGGGAGGTGTGTTTAAAATTGATTTTTTTTATACAAGTGAAAATATATAAAAATAGGTTCAATTTCCAAATTTTTTTATGGCCATTTTTTTCAAAAATATTTACATATATTTTGTTTTATTTTGCATTATAAATCTTCAAAAAATTTTTTTATGTGTATGATTTAATCAAGATTCAGTTTATAAAAATTTAAATGAGACACCTAATCGCTCTGTTTTTCCACCAACTTATTATCTTGAAAGTTAATTTTCGTATTTAATTCAAAGCTCGTAAAATTACCATTTATAAAACACTCTAATTTAAGTTATATATAAACCACATTTTGAATGTGAATCGAGTCCTTTTCTCTCAAGTAATTATGAAATTGTGAATATTCGGTTCAACATTACACAAGAACTTCATTTTTTTTTTATGAATGACTTATGTTTATTCATAAAATTTTATACAGGGAATCCTTGCTAGCTTGATGATAATACCCGGCAATATAGAAGCCTTAATAGGATTTTTTGGATTCGCCTCATGGCTTTTCTATGGACTAACTATGGTGGCTTTATTGTATTTGAGATACACCCAACCTAATACGCCTCGTCCCTATAAAGTAAATTTATTTTTAATGAAAATAATTTTAAATAGGATTATTTATTTCTTAAAAATTTAAATCAGTTTTTCGATACTTTGACTTATTTTTAAAAAATATTTTTCATATTAAACTGAAAAGCGCTACTGCGAGACCTGCAAACTAAGCTAAAAATGTATTTATTTATTTTACAGCTGAAAATAACCTAAATATTTATGAAACGAGTAAAGAAAATATATAAATTTCGTTATGTATAAACAGGTGTTGTCGGTAAATATCTCCATACTTTAAAAAAAAATTCATAATTTGTAATTAACATATATTGCAAGGCCCTGATATGGGTGAATAGGAAAAGTGTATATTTCGGGATTGAGGAAGGTTTGATATTAACTAAGTTTTGCAACAAAGGTACATTGCTAAATTTCACAATTTTTTATTTGTTTTTGTTATAAACTTCAATTAAAAATAGTTTCCATTTTATCCTTCGTCGGTTTTGTCTTCAATACATAAAAAATTAAATAAATTATTTCTTTTTTTGTTACCCTGTTTTGAATTAAGTACATTTAAGATTAACATATGGTTTTTGTGTTTTCTTTTTACTTAGAGGTTTTTCTTATTTTTTGAGTCTTTAATGGTGTGTTCGGTAAATATAAGTTAGATATTTAGGTCCGGGAGATCGCCTGCGTCCAGAGGTATAATTAAAGTTACAGAAAGTATAGAAGGGGGGGGGGTTATGTTTTATGCCTAATTATGTAAAATAAAACTAACACAACTCCTTTTCTTTTTTTTTACTTTGCGCCAATTTTATTTTATAATTGCGCGTTTTATTTTCCCTATAAAAGGGACAAATTTTTATACTGAAACATATATTTTATTTTTTGTTTTAAAATTATTAAAAATATTTTTTTTGATTAATTTTAGTAATAAATTTGATTTAAAGTTTTATTTGAGTAAATTATTATGCCTCTTACAAGATTCCAGATAGACGAACTCCCTACTAATCAAACCTTTACTGAAGCCCCGACATTTCATTTTTATAAAAGTAGGATTATTTATCTCATCTTTTATATTTCACCACAAAACACATCTATGGGTTAGAAGGTTATATTTTTTAAAATAATGGGCGCATTTTTATGTCGATATTTTTTTTATAGTACGTTACTATTTACCGACCTAGTTACCTCTCCTGTAGCCAGAATCAAATAATATATCTGTGTTTAATTTCTTTATACCCAAATGATCTATAAATTATTATTTAAAAAGGTTTTATCCTATAACCAAAAATATTCTAATCTCTACAAAATTAGTTTTTTTTTAAAAAAAATTATTATTTAGACCATAGCCAGGCATGATTTTTTAAAATTTATTTTTAGACGGGCCTGAGTCCAGCTAACGGATCAATTTGCAGAGCTTTAAATTTTTTCGATTTTTTAAATAATTATTGATTGTGGTAGATAAAATAAGAGATAGTGAATTTAGCGGCTGAGCCTCAGACCTCTGCTCACTTATCAAAGATATAAATATTTAATTATTATTTGTTTATTTTGGAGTAGGTATGGATAGGAATCCCTATTCTGGTGCTGATAATTTCCGTGTGCTTAGTGATTTTCCCTTTAATCAAAGAACCAGCTATTGAATTCTTGTACGCTACCGTTTTTATACTGGCCGGAATGGTGTTTTACGTGCCATTCGTCTACTACAAAGTTCACTTGAGATGCATGGGTATAATCTATTATAAAAACATTTATTGAAATAGCATACTTAATACATACATAATAGTGATAGAAAATTGAGATGAATTTATACCACACTTAGTGATAGTTGTTTCTATGTATTATTCTTAATAATTTTTATTAACTTTTAATTACCAAATATTTTTTTAAAAAAATATATATTATTTTATCGAAAATAGAAAAATTTACCTTATTTTTCCAAAAATTGTTGGAAGTTATGCCAGAAGAAAGCGAAGATGAAACATCAGAAGAAATTCCTTTGTCGGAATACAAAAAATAGATTATACATTTTTTAAAATATTATTGTATCTTCTCTAAAATATATTTTTTTTAAATATCTTTGGAATGAATGAATCGTAAAAAGATGAATAATTGGAAAAATTACTTTATTTTCATTTTCCTATAATTTTTGTAAATAATTCTCTATTTTGAATTTCCTTTTTTTTATATACCTTTTATTAAAAAAAATAAATAAATTTCCAATCAATCAACATACATTTACTATATTAAATATTCTATCAACATATTTTTTAAAAAACAACAACCTTTACTCTTAGCTTTCAATATCAAAAAAATACCGAAAATATTGTAATCAAATTTCCTTTTTCGCCAAAATCTCATACAAATATAAAATTGATTTTAGCTTTATATATATATAAAAAATTTTGATTTTATATTATTATAAATTTTTTTAAAAAAATAATATCTTCTCAATTCGTGGTGAGTTTTTATTATTTGGCCCATCATTTTGCATTACAGAAAATGGCAATTTTAATTTAAAAAAAATGAAATTGTAATAATATTTTATTTTACAAAATCAGAAACGAAATAAATTTTTTATATCTATTTTTTCCAACTTACCAATTATTATTATGTTCATTTAGCTCTGGCAATGAAATAAATTAAAACTTCGATAGGAATTAAGTCAAGATCAGCACGCGCTATATTTAATCTTAACTGCATAAAATTGTTCTATCTTAAAACAAATTTAAACTGGGTAAAATGTCAGATTTTTTTTAGACGAAATACTCTTTTCAGAATTCTAGGAATAAAAGCAATTAGGATGTAGATCTCTTAAATTAAAAAAAATAATTTACTATATAAAATACTATCACTCGGAATTTTATATATTTTAAATTAGAATTATATTAAGACGGACGATGCATTCAAAAAAATGCATTTGAAAGTGTCGTTGAAATGAAAACCAGCTGGACCCGCCATTTTCGTAACCCATATAGTAATTATTCTATGTTAAAAAACTACTAATAAATTGTTAACTTGCTTCCATATTATCTCGATGATCAGACAATTCTTTAATAAAGTTTACGTGGTATAGGAATAAATTGGCCTCTCGTTTAAAATTTTTGATAATGATATGGGTAATCAAAATGGCGTCCCCAGCTGTTTTCATTGTTGTACACTTTTAATGAATGCATCATCAGTCTAGATATTATCTTATATCATTGATATGGTTAATAACTTTATTAAGATTTTTCAATACACTTAATTACTAATAAATTAGATATAATTTGCTAAGGATTTAAGATTTTTCATAATGAGGAATAGTTTCGTAGCAAAAAATAATATTTAGTTAGATCTAATGTTTTCAAGATTTGCCCTAGAAAATTACGAAATATCACGGAGATTTTTTCAGTCTTATTCAGAATTAGGCTTCCAGAAAATTAAATAAAATATTTATTTTGGTTTGTTTTAAATATTTGGTGGCATTATTACATTTTGAATTTATTTTTTCGGTTTTTTGTATTTTTGATTTTTGATTTTGTGTTTTTTTTTATTTTTAAATTTTTTCTTTTGCTTAAACTGAATAGCCAGCTAAACAGACGGCTGTTTAGTAACGAATCGAATCAGGACACAACCTAAACATTGATTAGATTTGGATTTTTTTTTAATGATCAAAATTTTGCTGCTAGTAAATTTTTCTTTCATACTTGTTAAAGCGCTGATATGCATTAGTAAAGCAAAACAGTGGCATTAGATTTTAGAATTACTGCTTAAAATTGTTCAGCAGACATTAACGGAGATGATTTGAAGAAATTAAATATTTAAAAAGCAAAATAAAATAGGGAAAGTGAATGAAAATCATTATAAGCTTAGAGCAGGGAAATAAAAGATGAATCTTATATTAGCGATTAAATTCCTCAATGGAAAAATATGGTACAAAAAACTGCATATATTGTTCTTATAATTGGAGTAGGCTTAAGATCTAGTTTATAGAAACTTCATATGATGGTGTTTGAGAAAGAGAAGATCCTAAGACTAGAGGTCTACAATATTATTAGTTACATGTTATATAATGTAACGATAATTAGAAGCCGCGACGGAATCGGTAAGGATTTGCAGGTTGATATTGGGTTGCACCAAGGATCAGCCCTATTTTTTTTTATATTTTCATTATTGTTTGATACAATATTTATTATTGATAATGATAAAAAGAATTGGAGCGATAACAATAAAATTTTTACCATATGAACAGTGAAATTAAGGATAAAGGCAAATAGAAAAAATACATGGTTTTTTAAGGTTGATCAGTTGTATGTAGGGTCTTTGCAAGGAGAAGTAGTCTATTTTCACTGTTATGTACTAAATAGTTTTTGTATTTTTTGTAGAATGTTTATTTTCATTATTATATTTATTATAAGAATTTAAATAGTAAAAGAAAATGCGATTTGATAACGAAAAAAAATAAAAAGATATTTCAATAATTACTTCTAAATAATACATTTCAAGAATGGCGCAGTCAATAAAAAGTCTAACGGATTCAAACCTTTGATACAAAGATTGGTGCTCGGACAGTGTCACTATTTAGGATTTAATCGTAAAGAGCAAGGTTGAAGGTAACTGCAAAAATGATTGAAGCTAACGATTGGAGAATATATTGAAATATAAGATAATACTAAGAACTGCTGGCAAGCCGTAAAAATTGTTTAATAAGTTCAGGGTTTGAAAGACCCTATAGCCTATTTGCTAAAAATCATAATAAACATATACTGTATAAAAATGTGATATAAATAATTTTACTAATCACTTTATTTACATGATCAAGCATAATTATAAACTAATATAAATATCAAAAAAAAAAAATTAAAAAGTGAATAACTAAACATATTGTTAAACATTACTTTTGGTAAATTATCTACAATTATCACGCGTTTTCATCCCATTTACATAAAAATAATGTTATCTAACAAAATATAATGTCTGTGCATAACCAATCTTCATAATTCAATAAGTAATTATTTATATATTAAAACACCTTTCCACTTAAATATTGACCAACTATTCTGCAAATGACCAACTTGCCTTTCGATTTCTATTTTACTAATCTTGTATCTCCACCAAATCTAGTCTCTTTTCATTCTTTATCCGATGACATATTGTTAATTCACTTCCTGGGCTAATCTTTTGTATCCTCTAAGTTTTAACGACGGCCTTCCCTCGCGTATTAGACATTACTTGAAATTCTTGAAATAATATCTTCTGTTGCTTCTCAACTCCATGGTAAACGATTATCTCCTTATCTCTGTAAGCGATTAACGCTAACTTTTACCCGATTAATTTTTGCTTTTCAACTATTATTATTGATAAACGATTATCGATTGATTCTAGGTATTTCTTTTCAACTTTTGTTACCTAAAAAGTTAGCCTGAAATTCTCTTGATAAATTATTCTATTCTTTGCTTGTTTCTAACGTTATAAATATTTAACGCTTTATCTCGGTAAACAATTGACGATTATTGTTAAACGATTAACGATTGCCTTTAAACGATCCACGAATTCTTGGTATCGATAACTACTAATCGTCGACTTGTGCGTATCGACAACAGTTTGTTTTTGTCTATAAATCAATTCTGTTGTTTCTTTATCCTAACTTGATCTTAGTCTTAATGTCTAATTCTTTTTATAAATTCCTACATAAAATACTATTAAACCACCAAACATTTTCCTAACTTCTGAAATATTTTATCACATTTTTCTTGTATTCATTTCTTAACAGTTTAAAATACATAGCTCAAATATACCAAAATAAATTATATAATTCTCAAATTCCTCTCAATGTATAAGGTTATCGCATCTAATCTAATTCTGCCTAACATGATCTAATTGAAATTTCCTAACTGTCTCTCTTAGTTCCTGAATAAATTTGCTCACTCTTTTCTTTTAATTGAATCTTAAATTTATCATACATAGTCAAAATATACTAAATAAATTATATAATTATGTCAAATTCAACCACCCCAGGTTTACCCTCAATGTAGCATAGACCCATATCATTATTAAACTATCTGCCTGTAGTCGTCCTTCATAGCTGAATTTAAATCTAAAATCTCTTTATTCTAAATTCTACATACCAAAATACATTATATGATATTTTTTTAACAAAATCATTTACCTTTATTTCCTCAAAATTTATGCACTTTTGAATGCTCAAATTTTCCAAGAAAAACTTAATATCTATTTATTTTCTTCTTCTGCTACACAACTCACACCCTTTGAGAAAAAAAACTACTGAAATATATATCTCTTTTAGCACATAAGTGACAAATCAATGAAATCATCATCATAGTTTCCGCACTCACATGAACAACTAGAAATCTAATCATAATGGTTTATATACACAAGTCTTTTGAACAATCAATAAAATCTAATCAATATAGTTCTCATACATACGTTGTTGAAAAGAGCAACATGACATATATATTTCAATAACGCATGTTTTCTATCCGACTCTTGTCTAAATTCGATGTATCATAATTCGGATCTCAAATCTTATTAATGATCTAAAATAAAATTCCGATCTCTTATTGAGCTCGATATGCGGCATGATATGTTTCTAATGATGAATAGCCGTTTCTCTTTCTTTAGACTGTTAGATTTTGCATTAATCAACAAACCTAATATTTCACTAAATATTATTAACTTATGCATATCTAATTCACGTATCAGATCATTGGGTCTGTTTTATCTCTCGCAGCCCTTAAAATAAAAGTTAAACGCAAATCTTTAATAAGAATTTAATTACAACATCAACATATTTTATAATATTTGTATTTACACCTTAGTCTCTAATATTATTCTCGGACTATTTTCACTTATCCTTTAACACATCTTTATTATTTATTCCCACAATTTATGTTCTTTTTTATTCTCAAGTGATCAATAATTCAATAAATTATAAACTAATCCAATTGTTTTCGCTCTTCGACCCAGAAATCAAGATTGAGGTAATTGTGATTAGACGTACTGATTTAAGTTAACGATTGGAGAATAGATTGAAATAGAAGATAACTATAAGAAGAGTATGATTTAAGTAACGATTGGAGAATAGATTGAAATAGAAGATAATATAAGAACTGTTAGCAAGCAATAAGAAACTTTAATAAGTTAGGGCTTGAAAGACCCTAAGCCTATAAATATAAAGGTTGCTAAAAATCATAATAAACATATATATAAATATAAATAAATAATTTTACTATCACTTTACTACATGATCAAACATAATTATAAAATAATATGACATATAAATTTAAACTATAAGTAATAATAAAAAAATAAAAATTATAAGAATTATCAAAAAAAGTTTAAAAAAATTAAAAAGTTAAAAACCAA